GGCCTGTGTTTTGCTGCGATCCGGTTGGGTTTTTTCTTGCTCGCAGGCGCAACTGGGAAGCAGCAGAGCCCCCTCCCAACAGCACCCGGAGCCCCTCGGCCCGCCGTGCCCCTGAGCGGAAGCGATCCCACTCACCCGTTTGGCCGAATTATTCTTTTTCATCGTTCCTCGCGGTGCTGAGCTGGAGGGAGAAGGGCTGGGAGGGCTCCGAGGGGCTCCTCCCTGGGAGAGAACGGGGCCCCTCCGCTCTGCCCTCGCCCTTTGCGGCTCACGGGCGCTCTCCCGTTACAGCCGGCCCCGGTGACGCGTCCTTGGCCACGCAGCCACTGCGTCCCCCGCCGCCGCCACCATCGCGGAGCTCTCGTGGGCTCGCACTGGGCTGGCCTGGGCTCCCGAGCTCCATCTATAGCCGTGTGCGTATGACGTCTGGAGTTCACCAGAAAGGGCGAATCGCAGCCCACGAGGGTTTTTCTTCTTTGTTTCTGACTCACCGTCTGTGTCTGGATGTGGGGCAGCGGGGTGCCGCGTCCCAGCTCCTTCCGCAACTGGGGGAAGCGGCCCAATGGCTCAGGAAGATTCGCGATGGATTTGGAAATGGGGGGAGAAGAAGGAAAGGTGGGGCAAAGGGTCTGTGGCCAGCACTGAGCAGAAAAGAAAGAAAGATTGAGGCCTTCCCTGAACTGAGGGAATGCATGGCAGAAAAAGCCTTTTCTGCCTGTTTGTTCTCCTCCACCATATTTGAGCAGGTCCAGAACTCTCAGTGTGGGAATACCAATGGGTTTAGAGAGATGTGTAAAAAAGAACAAGGGAAAAAAAAAAAAAAAAAACAGTAAGAGAGAAACATCCCTGTTAGGAAGAGGTAGATAAGATAAATGGATTGATCACAGCTGGTCAGTCGATCCGTTGGTGCTCATGGTGACAGCCCTCTGCCTCAATTGTCTGTCTGGCACACACCCACAGAGATGAATGCACGGATGATGCTGCATCCAGGCATCCAGGTGGGTTTGTATCTCTCCAGAGAAGGAGACTTTCCACCACTGAGCAGCACTGAAGTTCTTTCTCATGTTCAGGTGAAATTCCCTGGGCTCCAGTCTGCACCCAGTGCACTTTGTTCTTGGCACCACCAAAGTCCAGCCCTGTGCTCCTCACCCCCACCCTTCAGATTTTGGTCTGCATCGATCAGGTCCCCTCTCAGGTCCCTTCTCTCCAGCCTCAGGGCCCTCAGACTGTCCCCATCAGGAGGTGCTCCAGCCCCCGCCATCTCTGCAGCCTTCCACTGGACTCTCCAAGCAGTTCCCAGTCTGCTCTGAACTGGGGAGCCCAGCACTGCACCCAGTGCTCCAGTTGTGGTCTCCTCGGGACAGACCAGAGGGGAGGAGAACCTCCCTTGTCTGCTGGCCACGCTCTGGGCAGTTGCACCCCAGTGTCCCATTGGCCTTCCTGGCCATAAGGGCACACTGCTGTTTTGTGGTCATCTGTTGGTCATTCACTGGTCAACTGCTGGTCATTCAGGACTACCAGGCCCTTTCCTGCAGAGCTCATTCAGGCAGCTAAGCCCCCAACCTGTCCTGGTGTACAGGTTGTTCGTCCCCAGGTGTTTGACCTACACTTGCTCTTGGTGAACCTCATCAGGTCCCTCTCCACCCAATTCTTGGCCCGCCCAGGTCTTGTGGGATGGCAGCACAACCTTCCGGGGCGGCAGCCATCCCTCCCAGCTTCGTGTCACTGGCAGTTCTCAATGGGATGCCGTGGCAGACAGCAACAAGCAGCCAGATGGCGCAGATCTGCTCTCAGAGGAGCTCGGAGTGGGGATGGCCTTGGGGCTGGCTGCCATTCAGGAACCCGGGCAGCCCTTCATCTGCAGGGCTCGGCCCCAGGCTGGATGTTGTTTTCAAAGTGCCTCAGTTCCCTTTTCTGGATGACGAGTTTTCAGCAGTTTTGGCGAGGAGTTAGGAAGTGGTATATGCTCCATTATCACTTCCCTTTTTCAGTACATTTGTCACTGAGTGCTGTGTGTCTGAAGGTGGGCAGCAAAGCACTGCAGAGCAGGGATCAGGCCCTGGGGCATGAGCAGTGCCAGGTGAGGGTCACAGGGTCTCACCCACGTGCTGAGCCCATGTCCACATGGGGCTGGAGATCTCCAAGGGAAAGGTCCCATGTATGTGTATATATGTATTTTTGAACCAATCTACAGCTCAATAACAATTAACCTCCTTTAATTCAGGTCCGCTGGGGTGGATCCTAATGAGCATCCCTCCAGTGCATCCTGACGGTGTAAAAGGGGCTTTGAAAAAAAAAAAAAAAAAGCATTTGACATCACACTCAATGCAAGGAGGAGGGACTGAGCTTAAGCCAAAATCCTCAAGGTGCTCCCAGAAGTGCTAAGGATGCTCCAAAAATCCTCAGACTGCTTTGGAAAAATCCTCAGGCTGCTTTGGAAAAGTCCAGGGGTGCAGCTGGCTGTTCCAGCCCACAGCAGTGACTCATGTTGGGATGGGATGTGAACAGTGATTCAGAGCTGAAAACATCAACAGCTCGCACGGAAGGGAGATAGGAGGGAGTCCAGCTCCTGCATCCCCGCGTGAAATGGGCAGGGATGGGTGGCTGTGCTGTGTCTGCAGGGTGGCACATGAACAGAGATCTCCTGCATGGCGACAGCCCCCTGGCACGTCCTCGTCCCCTTCCCCATTCCTGTCCTGCCCACAGCCAGCCCCACTGTCCTGGGAGTTGTGCTCCTGGTCAGCATGGCCTCACGCCCAGGGACACAGCACACAGCCCCCAGTGAAATCAGTGCGTCTCACATACAATGGCTAGTGGAAGAACGGAGTTCTTTATTAGCTGCTAATGAACTTGAGCCTCTGTGCAGTCTGTGTGCTGGGACAGTTTGCTTTCCCAGTTTGCCCTGTCAGCAGTGGTGCGTTTGTACGAGGCAGCTCAGGCGTGCCTCACAGACAACCCCACGGGAAAATGCAACGTGTGGCCCCGGGATGGGAGCAGCCCTTGGGTGCAGGAGGCACGGCAGCAGCAGAAGTGCTCAATGGCAGCATTATAAAATGAAGATGATTGGTTCTGTAGTGCAACCCCTGTGTGGGGTCAAGGTCTCAATTTGTGCTTGTGTCCTTCCTGCTGTTCTCATATGTCCCATTTGCTCCACTCAGCCCTGATGCTGCTACTCTGCTCCCCTATGATGTGTTGATTCAATAACAAATACCAAAATATCTTCCTACTGCAAAAGCAGCACAACAAACACTCTTGGCTTATTTATGTATTTAACACTCCTCTCGTCCCCTGGATCATTTTGCCTCTGGATATCAAGTGTGAAACTGCTGCTTAGGAGATTAATCGAGTTTAATTAGGGCATGTGTTTTTCCTTGTCTCTAGATAATTAGAGCACTATTGTCTGGAAGGGGCTGAATTGTCCCTATAGGGCTGTGGCTCCTCGCCTCTCCTCAGGACACATTTGGGGTTTAAGGGCTCAGGTTGACCACAGGACTGGGGGCTCCTGGTTTCGGTTCAAGATGCCCCAGATCCAAGTTACAGCCTTTCCTTCCTGAGACAGTCCCTGGGAGCTGCCAGAGAACTATGCAGTTGCCAGAAGGCAAATTAATTCCTCCATCTACCCTTGGTTACACCCTGTGCAACCACTGGCACAGCAGGAAGCCCTAAAAGAGCCAAGAGCAGGAATCCAGAGGCTAAAAACTGCAGCACATTGAATTTGAGCACTAGTGTGTTTAGTTAAAAAGAAATTTCTAATGCACATCTCAGCTTCAGCAGGCATCACATCTGAGGTGAAGAAATTCTCTGGCTTGGCTGCTGCAGCCCAGGTGGGTTCAGGGCTGTGAAGCAGCTTGTGAACAAACCCTTCTCAGGTGCTTGCAACATGTGGTGAGCCCACATTGTGCCAAGACCCAGAGCTCATGACATGGGGAGAAAGGGGAAAAATACCAATCCATGGGCCCCAAGGACTTTGTGCTGAGCCTGGACCAAACCTTTTGTGCTTGCACTGGCATGTAAGCACAAAGTTGTGCGAGGGAGGCTGCAAAAGCAAGCCCCAGGTTTCATCTGGTAAAGGCTGATGCAAGCTGTAGGAGTCTCTTAATCCACTACAGGGGAGCTAGTGCCAGGAGTACAACTTACAGCGTGCTGGTAAGAAACCGAGCTGCCTGATCTGGTTAAACGAAGCCCGGACATCTCACTGGGTCGGTACCCCTGCCTCCTGCCTCCAGAACCGCAGCAACCCCACTGCCCAAGGACTGTGGCATTGCAGGGCATTTGTCCTAAAAGCAGCAAAATGTGTCAGCTTCCTAAGTGCCAGGATGAAGGTGATGGACTGGAAACCCCTCCAGGACCCAACCCCTCTGACCACAATGCTGACGGTCCTGAGTTAGGAAGGAAACGCTCCCTAATGATGTGTGTGGGAACCCTGCCCTGTGCCTTGACCCCATTGTTTTCATGCAGGAGCCCTGGAGCAGCTCCGTGGCGCATGAAGCATCAATCCTTCAGCACTGCGGGAAGATTTTTGGATGGACAGGCGCCCAGCTTTGCTGTGACCTTGCTTCAGGGAATTAAGCCAGAGAAATGAGTCTGAATTCAAGCACTTCCCATCCAGCAGCCCTGCAGAGCTCTCAGGGAACGGGAGGTTCAGTCTTACTTAATTACGGGAAGGCAGGAGATAAGGAGAGCCACGCTCATTGGCAGCAGACGTTCCCAGAAGCCACGTATCCGGTCTGCTGATATCTGTTTCAACTCAACCTTTTCACAGTTCCTGTACCTAAATTAAATGTAATTTTGAAAAAAAAAATTCCTCTTGAAGGGACGGAGAGTCCGCACATCTCTCCTGGATGCTCCTGGCAGGAGGCATTGCGGGGACTGCAGCACTGTCTGTCTGTCTGTCCCTGGTCCAGCTCCATGCTCAGGAGAATGCCAACTGGCCACCTCCTAGCCCAGCTCTGCTCCATCACTGCAGTGTTCTTATTTCTTTTCAAACCCAATACGTTTAATTACTGCAAGAGCAATTTTTATTGTTAAATAGAAATTACAACACTTTTTCAGAACATGGGAGTGAGGAAAGGGGCACCGAGTGGTGCAGTTTTCTTACAGTAAAGGGAAGTTAATGGAGAAGATGAAGCATGGAGTGGCACTCTTTGATAGAAAAGAGGTTCAGCCAAAATGGGTTATTTAATAGGATTCAAAATATACAGACAACTGAGCAGAACAGTGCCCATCAGCTTCACCTTCCAGAGATGCACATGAAGGTCTGGGCCATGTCACTAGATGTTCCTTAGGGGACTCACGTGTGTCTGGACACATCGGCAGAGCAGAGCTTCGGGGCAGCATTGCGGCAGACACGCAGTGTTTGCAGAGGGATGTTCTGAGTGTCCCATGTCAGAGTGGAGACGGCGTGACTGCTGCAGTCTGGGGCACGTTCCTCCACGCAGGCACCAACGCCAGCACAGAGGATGGGGGAGGCAGGAATTGCCCCGAGCTTCACCGCCTGCTGCTTGGCCTCGGTGCAACATGGGAGCTCTCGGTGCTTCGGCCGCGGAAACCTGAAGCTGTAACCTCCTCGAGGAAGCTGCCAAGCAAAGCTCAGGTTAGTCTCCCAGCCAACAGAAAGCAACCACGTAACCTCTGAACCACACCAACAAGTGCTCCCTGGGCAACAAAACCTGGGCACCCAGCAAGGATCACTTTCACTGAGAAGCTCCATTCCTCCCTAAATGCCCCATCCCGTATGGCTCCCAAATGGGCTCCTCGCTCTCCCAGCCCAGCTCAGCACCTGGGTTTGCTGGCAGCGCCATTTGATTCTTGGCAACAAACCCAGGAAGGTCAGAGCGCAGGCTTGGTTTTCTGCTTGCTCTCAGCCTTCCTGTGAGGATAAGAGAGCAGGAAGAGGCAGGGTGGAAACCTCCTGCTGCAGCATCTTTGGCATTTTGCAGCAGGGCATTCTGAAAGCAGCCCTGGGTTGTGCTCAGCCTCCCTCAGCCCATTGCAGGGCTCTCGCCTGCCTGGGATCCTCACTCTGATTTCAGCCTGTTTGAACCATGTTTTATGGTTCAATCCAACTAATGAGCCTCATGGAAATCTCTGGGCGCCAGGCATTAACCCAGCCAGAGCTCAAGGACTAAGTAAAATGCTTAAAGACAAAGTAAGCTTCATCCTTTTGCCTTCTCTCTCCGATTTTCCTAAGGAAGGTTGGGGACCCAAGGATCTAAAGCCAAGCAATAGGCTCAGCCATGTACCAGAGCAATGGTTCCATAGGAAAACAAAAGGACAACTCCTTCAGGGCCACATTTGTGATTCTCAGCAAACCCTTGTGCTGTGGATCAGGGACTAGGGCTGGCCAACTGGAGGGGGAAAGCTTGGAGCAGGCAGGAACTTGGCCAGGTGTGTCTGTGCTGTGCCCTGTTTTGGGGATCAAGACACTGAAATCTGATACAAGATCGCTCTTAGTCCAAACCTATTTCCATTTAAACCACAGCAAAATTCCCCATTATGTCTTATAAGAGCTGAGTTAGGCTGTGTGACAATGTGAAAAATCCCATTCTTGCCTGCAGAGCACCTTAAAGCCCTTGTACAGATGAGACCGCTGCACAGGCAGCCCCGTTTGCCAGCACCGAACTCCTGCTGCAGGCAGGACTGTGGCTCCTTGGTTATGCAGCGAGAGAGATTTCTACCTTGATAGGTCTGCAAAATTAATTTCACCCATTCTGTCACCAAGCAGTCTTCAAAGGCCAATTTTATCCCTGAAACATGCCATGGTGGTTTAGTTTCCTATACCTGTCATGAGCACACAGCCGCTCCTTATCAGGGTGGATGGGTGTGCAGGGCGGGCTGAGCAGCAGGTACCTGCTCTGTGCTACGTGCTGGAGCTCACCTAAGGTCAGCTGCAGCACACTGCAATCCAGCAGCCTCCACCCTTGTACAAATCACAGTGCAGCTTAATCCAGGAAAGGATGGCGAGTGAGGGGAGCACCCTTTTCTAAATAGGTCTAGAAGTGAGTTAAGGTTTGAGACTAATTCAAGAGGAATAATAAAAAAAAAAGGATTTGAAAGAGTGATTCTTTAAAGCTTCTTGCATTGTTTTTGTTCAGTTATAGGCTTTTCCACGCTTTCGCACAGCACTCCCGCCTGCAAAGCCAAGCAGAGCACGCCCTGAGCACCAGGCAGAATCACAGAATGGCCAGGGTTGAAAGGGGCCCCAAGGATCATGAATCTCCAACCCCCCTGCCACATGCAGGGCCATCAACCTCCTCATTTAATGCTAGACAGGACTGTGGCTATCTGCACCACCACTCTGTGCAGCGTGGGAGGCTGCTGGGCACTGTGCTACACCACAGCAGTGCTGCCACGTGAGCTCTGCTGAGGCTGTTACCAGGAGGATGGTTACTCTGGCAGCGCTGTGCACTTCCACCGGCTCCCAGGTTGACTCATGCCTTCAATATGCTGATCAAGTTAACCTAACGTTAATGCTTAAAAAGTAAAAAAAAACTAAAATAAAAATCAGGAAACACCACAAATACTACAAAATCTCTGTTCACCAGAAGTGGGGTAAGGTGAGGTAGGGCTACCTGTGAAGGCTGTGAATCCTGAGAGTTACTAAAAATTAAAAAAAAAAAAAAACACATGCAAATGCCTGCACCAATCTGCAGATCTCAACCCTGCACTGCTCAGAAATACGCATTCCTGAGGGCAGCAGCCTGATGTACAGGAGGTGCATTTTGCTGTGGTCCACCAGCACGGCAATTACAGCCAAAGCCGTCCCTCCTCCAGCTTTATTTTTGGGCATTAGAGCCACACGGACTGAGTTCTCAGCAGAGGATGACTTGCTTTTCCTTTTAAAGTGGACTCCTGCACTATGGTCTCCCCATTATAAACATCAAAGAAAGAATAGAAAAGCACGGAGAGGATCAGGGATGCCTCCACCTGCTCCCACACCTCGTTCCCTCCAGATCAAGGATCCTAAGGGCCGGTGCGGCGCTCCCCCTACGGGCACCAGCATCACAACACGGGCTGGGCCGCCCGAATTCGGCACCAAGAGACAGCTGAGCTATTGCTGGAAGTGGGTAAGTGGGTCAGGCTGGCATCCCCTCGGATTAGTCACAGCAGGTTTCTGCTTAACCTGTGCTCTGGATGAGTCAGCCCCACACACCAGATGGTCTCTGGGTCTCATTCATCCCTTTTTAGGCATTATTGATCTCTTTTAACCCCTTCTCTAGTGAAATTTCCTTGCAATCCAGGTGGCTGTGCAGGAGAGGCAGGGCTGTGTGCCCATGGGACCGGTGCTGGAGCTGTTTGCCAACAGCAAGGAATCAGTTTGCTTTTTCTTTGGGAAGTGGCAGCAGCTCTCCAGCTCTCAACCAGACACACTGTGCTCCACAGCCACATAATTACACACTTTGCTGTCACTCCTAGCCCTAAAGCCACAGCAAAGCCGCAGGCTCCAGAGTTCTTTGGTATGAGCACCCAGCCCCTCTACAAACACAACAGTGTACTGAAATCCTCCCAGGAGAAAGCCCCTGGGCACCCACAGATTCAACTCCAGCACAGATCTGCCCAAATCTATCCGGTTTCCTCAGTAACTGCTATGGCCAGGAATCAAGTCAAGAACGAACTCTCACATTCACCATAACTGTAATTTAAAAACATATTACACACATACTTCTCAAAAGAACCCACAATTAACAATCCTCAGCCTCTCATTACAGCTCATCACATTGCTGGGAGAACAGAGAGGAGCTCTGCCCTCACGTCTTTGTGCAGCAGGTGGTTCTGCAGCAGAAGAGCCACGGGCTGAGAGCCGAGCAGAAGAGATGCACGTGGTGCACACAGCACAGGTCTGGGATCTCCTCCGTGGGGCACATCTCTGCAGGGTGCACTGCCTGGGCTCATCGTACAGGAAAGCCCTTCCTTACCCTTCTCAAAATCACATCGTAACAGAAGTGCTTTTAGTAGAGCGACAAAAATTTCTGAAGTAATGGGAAGCCGACACAGTTTGATTACAAAAACACTGAAAATCCTGACAAACAACCGATTTTTTTCAGCCCTGCTGGATCTCAGAACATTTCCAGTGTGTGTCGGTGTACTTCCATACACCGAATGGTAAGGGGCTGTCTGTTACTTTGTTAAATCAAGGAATAATCTCCAACAAGAGTCTCTAACCTGATTTATTTACAAGGAACCCTGACTACATGCCTCACTTCAGAATATGGGCATTGCTATTAAATACCTGCTCTTATTTTGCGTATATATGGATATAAATCCATGAAGATCAACACAGACAGATTCTCCTTGACATCACTATGTAGCATAAAGAAAACTTAAAAAAGGTCCTTCCTATGCCCGATCTGAGACCTTTGCAAACACAGTGAGTAAAGGAGCAGTTTCACCCACACTTTCGAGCATCCCATTGGACAACACAGATGGTCTCTTCCACAAATAAGCTTTTCACCAGCATAGAGCTGTAATGGCACAACCAGCTCTGAGGGCTTGTTTGTGCCTTGAGAAGAAGCGGATCGATGCCCCCTAAGCCATCCCCCACTCCATAAACACAGCTGTTGATCACAATCTAAGTTGGGCTGTAAGAACAATGAAAGCATGGGATTAGTGTGCTTACACGGGCTGCTCCTCGCATTAATATCAAAATCTCCCTGTTTATTGTGACATATCAGCCCTAATCCAGCAGAAATAAGCAGCAGTTCATTAAAGGAAGGCTGGTGGATTACTGGAGGAGTTAGAACACCATCAAATGTAGGTTTGCTCACATACTGGTGTATTTGCTGATATAGCCAGAATCCTCATACACTTTGCTACGATCGCTGCAGTCAGGAAACCTTCCTCCTTTTCTCAGGTACCTGGTGGGAGCTGGCTCACTCTGTTCTGTATGCTGCTCCTCCTCCTGCAGAGCGTCAGCCATCCCTGAAAAGCACTAAGTTTTTTGTCTGGGAAGCTCTGTTGCTATTACCAGTGTGGCCTTTCGTCATTCAGGAAATCTTATTCAAGCCACAAGGGAAAAGCAACTCACTTGGGACAGGGCTATTTTCAGAGCAGGACTCCTGAGAGCCCTCGTCTCAGTGTTCCCAGACAGGACCCCGTACCATTAACCCCCTACAAAGCCACAGCCTTTCTAAATTATTTCTTTATTTTTTCACTTCATTCTTTGAAATGCAAATTCTGATACAGTATCCTCGTTTTTCCGTAAATAATTCAGAGGCTGCGCCAAAACTCAGTCACAGTAGAAGCCCCAGCTAGCTAATGTTACTCCTTACTGCACAAATCTAAGGAGTGCAGTTGCAAATCTTAAATTTCACAAAGCTCAGAGACCTTCTGATGCAAACAGACAAAGCAGAAAGTTGCCTACTGTCACCTAACAGGCCAGCAGCAGAGCAGGGGTGGGAACCTAAAACTAAAACCATCGCTTCTCGCCTGTCCTGCTCATTTTCCTTCTAGACCAAACGCTGCCAGGAGGTTTCCTCCATTCTCCCTCCCCCATTGACAGTTTCTGCTGAATGTGCTGCACTGATACCCTTGCAGGGCAGGTCCCGGCCTCCAATCTGGAGTGAAAAGCTGTGCCATCTTCCTATCCTCGCTCTGGTTTTGTGTTTTTAGTGTGGTGTGATGACGGCGCTATCCAGGTTCTCAGCACAGACGCTGGTTAAGGTTTGATGTAGGACTGTTGGCAGATGTCAAAATCAGCCTCGGAATGCAATGGTAGACTGAGAGGTTGAGAGGTTGCACTGGATGTCAGGCTGAACATGAACCAGTTCTTCTGCATCCTTACAAGTCGACAATTCTTTTGTTTTCTAAGTAAAAAGCAGCTAGTCTGATCTCTTTTTCTTACTATTTCCAGGTCTGGCTAGCACAGGATTTAGTTCAAAAGCCACTCTGGAAAGCAGAAGGTCGAGGAAGCCTGGTAATTTGGGCAGGCACTGGTTGATATGTGGGCTAATACAGACTTGCCTCTGTAACCCAGTTCATGACAGTAATTTGCTTCTGGGCTATCACCAGCTCAGGAGCTTTCTCATCAGCTGATATTAAACCAATGAAAGGGCCAAATTTTGGAGTGGGAATTCAGTGGGTTTGGGCATTTTTTTTCTTAGCAAAGTGATGATGGGAACCACTGGAACGCCTTGCGTAAGAGTTGTTATTGCTTTGCGTAGGCAGCTTTGGAGCCTGAAGGCGTGAAAAGGAAGGGCAAAAGTGCAGGGATGTTAAAAATATCACACTGCACTCTAACGCAGCAACAGTGCACAGACATGGCCTAAAACCAAAACCATTTTAGCCTATGCACCACACCTTGTCCACCTGTCAGTAATTGAGATCAAGGAAGCGCCTGGCAGCTGTATTTCTGACATACAAAGCCTGTGGCAATAACAGCGTGTGCTTCCTGAGCTGCAGAGCACTGCTGAGGCACCCAGAGTGGTTAGTCAGCTCTGAAAATGCCACCCTGAATGCTGAGAAGCACAACTCCTTCCAGTGCAGCACCATTCTGTTTGTGCTTCTACTTGGTCACGCTGGAGCTGCCCTTCCCTCTCAGCCTGGTGCTCCCTTTCTGCTCCAAGCAGCTGCTGGACAACCCAGGGGCTCTCCCAGGACTTGGATTTCACCACACTTCCTGCTGCAACACATGGCACAGACATGTCACCTGTCACATTCCCTCCTTCTGAGAGCACTGTCCTTTGGAGGCTGTTCCAGTGACTGACCACTCACCAGTGGCCCTGATACAGCTCACACAGACAAGACTCCTACAGTAGATTGCCTCCTACAAGAATGAAAATAATTGTCTTGGAATAAGATGATAGGATATTACTGGGGGTAATTCTATAACAGAAGCCATTCTTTCTGCACAGATGTTCAGTAGAAGCAAGAGACCAGGTACATCAGTCAGGGAGCAGAAGCTATTTCAAAGTAAATTATCTGCTCAGTTAGGCATCCAGTGAGATGGGAAGGCAAAGATGTCACCAAAGTGAGGCAAACAAGATACAGAAATCCAAAACTGGCCAAGTTTGGAATCCTAAATTCTGGCAGGGGTCTGTGGTAGTCCCAGTTTCTTCAGCTGGTTTCTTGGACTTTTTCTGTAAGATGTGCAACAAATGCCTCTGCTCAGCTGAGCCAGCAAGCTGTGCTGATTGAAAACAATCCTCAACATGGTCTACATTTTCAGCCAGCTGCTAAACTCAGACAGTGCCCAGGAAATCAGTGAAGGTCAGTGTGCTCAGTGCTCCCTGGCCCCACTCAGTCCTGCAGGACTGAGCCCACACAACTGTCTGGCCTCCCAGGAAAGGCAGCTCAGAGCATAAAACAAACCAATAAGGAAAGTTCTCCAGGGAGAAATGCAAAAGGCACAGCCAATGCTCTGCAGGCTCGTGGGCGGCAGAGAGCCTGCAAGCAGTGTAATCATAGAACTCCATTCCAATCACACGTACATTAACTTCTCTGCTATCAAATGCAATTGCTCAGATTTCAACAGAAGCAATGAGACCACAGTCAGCTCTGAATCCTTGTGTGCTGCACTGGCTTTTCATTCATAGTGCAGTGTATGGTGAATTATAAGCAGGAAAACCTACACAAATCTACTTCCTTGCCCTTGAATTCAGCAAAGCAAACATTAAACCTTCAGCTTGATAATACGTCTCTCAGCCATAATGAGCAGTGCTGGGCTCAGACCACTTTGACACATTTCTGCATTCTATTGAGCAGTGAAGATCCCTCAGGCATCACCAACTCACATTCATGTCAGCAGTTTAATGCACGCAGAATCCCTGGCAATGAGGCTGTTACCTCCTGGTGTTGTGGATGGTGGTCCCGCCGAGGACGACCCTGATGCCTGGGTTGGTGCGATTCAGGTTGTACACAGTCAGTGCCTCCTCGTAAGTCGCCCCTCCAATGATGAAAACAATAATATCTTGGGGCCTGCAATAGAGACACAAATACAAAACTGCATAAATGGGCACGGAGGCAGCAATCCTGCTGGTTTCTCTCCCAGACCACATTTCATTTCTGTGATGCACTGGGCTGAAGACTGACAACATGCAGCCCATGAAGTCGCCTTTAGAACGCTGTCTCTCCTAAACATTTACACACTGTGCTCACGGTCCTGACAGCCTCCTCAGCACACCCACACGCTGTATCCCTGCAGAGCTCCACCATGACACATCACCCATGTTTAATGCATGATGGAGACGCCGCTGTGGCTGTTAAATTCAGATCAATTTGGAGTCAAGTGAGGACAGCAGTGGAGCTTCAGAGCTCTCGGGCTTGGTTGGAAGGGCACGGATCAGCTGCAGTTTTGCTGGCTGATTACAGAACAGAGGATTTATGCTTGGTTTTACCTCCCTACATTCCCTAAGTAGCCCCAAAATACAGGATTTTACAGAGGAAAAAGGAGGAAGGGAGATGGGAAGTGTCTGCACCTAGCAAAATGCAAGACCAGGCACACATCCTGCATGTTCTGCTTTCAGGGGAAGGCTGGACTTTCCCTGCACCATTCTCCCCAATTCCTTTCCATTCTCAATGTGCTTACCACCCATAAATCAGCTTTTGCTACCGCCCAGAAGCTAAAAGAATGATTTCTGCAGAATCTATAGTGAAAGGTCTGGACTGCATCCCATCAGCGGCACACCATCCCCTGCTGGAATCAGTGTTTCACTCTGGAGAGCAGGCAAGTCTCAATGCAATTAACTTTCTGTTGCAGTCTCAAAACTAGTCTCTGCTTTCCAAGCAGGTACCTCTATTAGAACACTTGCTGCAATGGTGAAAGCAGCAGGCATTCATCTGCTCTGTCTGTGCAAGCTCTGGATCAGTGACAAAGCAAATGAAGCATAAGACAGGGATGACCCTGGCATGCACCTCAATGCTGTCTTTGGTTACTCCTTCCTGAGAATCCATCCTGGAAAGCCCTAGACACCTGTTACTGCCCAGAGAAGCAGCAGCACACACTTCAGAAGAGCTGTCACTGACAAGAGAACCCTTCAAAGAGCAAAACTGCTTCTGCCATCAGAATGGGATGCTGGCTCCAAACAAGTGTGTTAGCCATCGGGTGCACACTACTGCCTCCCTGTCCCTGGAAAGGATGCAGAAAGGTAAGAAAAATCCCTCCTCAAAGCGACCATTGTTACCAATAATCTTCCAAGGCATGGGTATTTTCTGGAAGCTTAGGTTAGGTCAGCATAACATGCCCTCAACAGCCAAAACAAAGTCTTTAGGATACTTTAGGAGGTGCAGGCAGACTGCCATTGTGGGGTGAAGAGGGAAAACTGCAGCTTCAGTGCCTGAAACCTGTGAGCAACTTACTGCAGAGCCTCCTTGGAAAGTACAAGAGTTAGAATGGAATCCTCTGCAGAGAAGTCAGCATGATTACAACATGTTCTATCAGATGCTTTATGCCTGCACTCTCTGGACACAGCGGCAAGTGTCCTTGTGCATGGCTTAGCCCATGCAGCCAGGAGCACGGGACGTGATTTCAGTCTGTGCTGCATCAGCTTCCCTTACAGAGACTGGGATTCAGTGTGCTTGTCTGCCCGCAGAACTACTCTGTGTCTTCTGTGCAGGAACAGGCTGTGAAATCTGCACTGCAACCTTAAGATAAGCAGGTTATATATAGCAACCGCACACCCAAGTTGTGCAGGTTCAGACATCTTGCTCAGGCAGACTGAGGGTTCTGCCCTGTAGTGACAGCACGAGCCACTGAGCCCCAGAGGACAGAGCAGTGCTGTACCTTGTCTTTTTGCTTGCGTTCAGGCAGGCTGCTTTGAAAACTAGATGCAAATGTGCTCAAGTCTCTTGGGAATGGAAATCAAAGGAAAGGCAAAGCATAGCAATGAAGTGATCTGATAAGCAGCTGTAGACTGTCTGGAAAAAAAAAAATCATATTGAAAATCCTTACAAACCCATTTTTATCACAAAATGTGTAAGAGATGTGGCAAGTAGGCCATGCCACAGTTCTTAGGGAGAATCCCTTTCAGGTGAGGAAGCCTGCAGGTCAGAATGGACCTTCCAGGTAAAGATAACTTTACTAACTGGATCACAGGAGCAACAGGGAAACAAAGCAGGCAGCTTATTAGCAGCCTGAAGTCCACAGCATCAACCTCCAATACCATCATTTATGCATTATGGGTTGGAACTTTAAGAGACCTAAATATTTCAGTGCAGAAGCTGTGCGGCCAGTTCTCATGTGCTCCTCTGAAATATCACAGAATTGTAAAGGTTGGAAAAGACCACTGAGATCATCAAGTTCAACACCAACCCATCCCCACGTGTCCACTTATAGAATCACAGAATCATTAAGGCTGGAAAAGACCACTAAGATCATCAAGTCCAACCACCAACACATCCTAAACACCAACCCATCATTTTAACATGGACCAGTCCATGAATCTGCCATCATCTATCACTGTCACCAAGACACCTCTCCTGCTCATTCTCATCACAGGGAACAGTCCCAAGTCCCGAGGTCACAGTTCCCCTCTAGGACATAGGATTACATGAATTGGTGTTGGATCTCCACAAATGAGGTGGCTGTGCATTAGCAGCCCAATCACTTCACAGAGACAAAGCTTGGCTGAGGAAGGGAAACCGTGTTTCTCATTTATGCAAAGCCCAGATGCACAGGAGGGACGATTTGATAGTCTTTCAACCTCAGGGTCAAGAACAGAAGTATCTTATGAAGGTATTTACAAATGTGTTAAAATAGGTTTGAAAATGATGAAGTCCACTTCAAATCACATCAAGTTAAAGAGGAACTAAGTACACACAGGGGAAGCAGCAGCAAATAATGAGACCATTCCTGTCTGCATTCCTAGAGCCCTAGCACTCCTCCACTACCTTAAACGAAAGCAGGAGCGGACTAATACTGCCAGAACAGCCATACTTCATGCAGCACTGATGAGGATTACATATCAAACTGCTAAAGGAGGCTGAACTAAGAAACCCTACAGATGGAAGTTCAGGGTGGGTTTTATATATACACATTTATATATACACACATCAATAGTAAGGAAAAAAAAAAAACATATACATATATGCATATGAACACACACATATATAAGCCACGTGGAAAACAAAAGGATCTCGGTGTTCTCATGGAGTGCCCAGAGAATTATTGCTTCTATCATGGGCAAACAATAAGCAATTTTGGAACAGGAAGAAACCCCGAGACTGTTACAGGATTAGTGGGAAAGCAATCTACAGGAACACTACCTCCAGCTGTTGTGCTCCTCAGCTCCAATTTGTGGATGTGGCTATGTATTTCCTTGGGTTAACTGCCAATTTAACAGCTAAATGCTTGAGCATTTCACAGAGGAGGATAAAGCAACTGCCTTGAACAAACAAGGACACTGTCAGAGTTTTGGCTTGAAAAAAAAAAAGCCACAAAACACCAATCATACTAAACCCAAGATAATACGTATGATTTAGCAATGGCACTATTTTCCATCATCTTTAGGGTGGTGTTGTGTGAGCTCAGATGAAACAGGGCACAGGCAAATGGTGCCACAATACACGCTGCAAGCTGATGTTTCCAAAAAAGGAGATTTTATATTTGCTGCCTAAGGAGATACTTCACCCATCCCTTCAGATATGTGTCACATTTATAATGGTGAACTGCTTCCAAATTCTTCCTCTCCTCAAGCAGCCAAGAGCAACTCCCCCTTCAACAAAATTACAGGTGAAAGATCACGCTCAGGCTGTAAGTCACAGCATATCCTGGGTGGTATCACTGCATGGTGTCAGTGAGCTCTCATGTGTAAGCACCATGAGGCCCACTTGGTCTGCCAGGACAAATGTCCTATTAAGAGGAATTCCCAGGCAATTCCAAAGCATACACAAAGCAAAAATTCCACCCAAAAGGCACACTTTGCAGAGCCCAGCCAGTGCTCTGAATGTGTCACAAGCCTTTGGAGGCATCTTCTGCAGTGCTCAACGCAGCTGGGTTCACACAGATTGCTGCAATGGGAAGGAGCTGTAGGAGCTTTTCTTGTTGGTACTTTCCAGCAGTAAGGCAGAGGAGACTGCAGACTTATGGCTTGCTAGAAAAGGACAACATTTAACACAGCAGGAAAGAAAAGAGAAGCAAAATAAAGCAGAATTGCTTATTGCTCTCTCCTAGGAACCCTGCTCAGTGTTTTGCAGATTCCCTCTCCTTCACCACTGCCAATTTCCACAGATGAATTTGGACCATGAGCTTCTCCTTCCTCGCAACAGTGTGATGTTTAATACAGAAAGAAGCAGTTAAAAATAATCCTTTTAAATTCTCTGCTGTTGAAGCAACTGCCTCCCTTTGATCAAAAAATACAAAGCTTTTTGCCCTGACCTGCTGCTGAACTGCTGCCAGTCACAGTAACACCATCCTCTGGAAGCACAGTGAGAAGACAGGATAGCCCAGTTTGCCTTGGGCTGCAATTTAGTGAAAAGTTCTGCAAAACTATTTAATGTAAATTCCTCACTCAACTCATTTGGCACTACGGCAACACAGCAGTCCTTTTTCTTCCAAAATTGATAGCTAGAATCTGTCTTTAGATAAGAACTCCTTTTCATGACATTTAATATTCATACCCAACAGACAGCACAGTGCTGCACCTCCATTCTGAAAAGCAAATAAAGACCAGGCACAAAAATATTTTGGCACTGATGTTTTGTCAAAGCTACAGAACCTCTGAGTCCTAGAGTCCCCATGTCTTAAGCTGAACAAGATTTCCCCATATGGGAACAGCCCCAATAACCACATGCTCTTAAACATTTAAAGAGGAACCTAAGTGAAAAACACAACTCAGCAGAATGTAAATGGGTACTCAGAATGAGAAAACAAAGGTCAGAAGACGGTTTGCTTCTAGTTAGTTCAGAAGCAACCATGGTCAGGGCCACCTGGATGCAGTCTCTGCTTTCTGCCCACTCGGTTTCAGATCCCATCACTCCATCTCTTTTTGTTGGGCTGAAATCCATCTCTTTCAAGGAGATGGAGGATGGCATTCTTGCTGCCATATCTGTTGCTAGGGAAGGGCCCTGATATCTCACACTCATTAAAACCACCCATCCACCCTGTCCACAATTCACCATTTTATTTTTTAAAGGAAAATTTGGAGTGAGACAGGTAGGTTTTAGTCTACCAAGGACATACAAAAACAAACTGATTTTTGTATGATTACAATTCTTCTTCTTCAATTCATAAGTGAAGTGATTTATATCCCCTGCCATCAGCTTGGCATAGAATTCGGATCCCTCCCTGTTACAAAACACATTTTTGCTTTCATCAGGTGGATGTAAATGCCCCAAAGCAGGGCTAAGTGGGAAGACCAGTGTGTGCTTTATCTGGAAGAGCCAGACACAAACAATAGCTCCTGCCCCTCCCTACCTGACACTGCTGCCCCTTCGTCCCCAAGCCCACTTCCTCCAGCTCCAAACAAACCTGCACATTTAATTTAACTCAGACTTCCCTGCAGTAGCCACTTCATTTGTTGAGAATTACTACCTTGAATTTATTTTCTGCCTCGCTACAAATGTGGCAGTTGCTGATAAAAAGCCACTCATCTGCAGCGTGTGAAGGGCATGACGACTGTCGTAATGCTGCAAGTAAAACTCTGGGGCATTCAGCAAACATTTGAGAAGACTTAGAGAATAGCTGTGATGGTCTCACCACAGATCACCCAAAGGAACCAAAGTAACATCAAGATCTTCCCCTCAAAGGACACTACTACTAGGAGGAACAAGAAATGCCAACCAGCATGCCGCAGAACTTAATGTAACTTACAGAAAGGAAACTGAGATACCAAACAAATCGGTCATTTGTACAGAAAGCTATTAAAGAACTTGTAGCCCTCTCTCTACCGACTCAGTGCCCTCACTCTGAGGCCCATATTCATCTTCAGTGACTTCAATGACAACAGGTTAGCCTAGATCTAGCAAAGTCAGCTAGAACCAGACAGCCAGAGTTCTTTTCAATTACAGTTATTGGCCAAAATCAGCAATATCCCATTCTAATCAGAAATAGTAACTGGCTCAGAAGGGAGAGTTAGCAGTTGAACTATTTTTGGTTCTCTACATATAAACGCCAGATGGCATGGACTGAAGTTAGGGGGCATGTTGAAATCCATCATGTGAACATTCTGGCAGCCTGGTGCAATGGCTTTATCCTTACCTAAGCTCTTACTTACAGTGGGAATGTCATGTTTTGGTCAGCACTGAACATAGAGAAAAGAAGACTGTATTCCAGCTTTAATAGCCTCGCACCTACCTGAGAGCTCAAGAAATACCTACTTGATCAAAACATTTATTTGGCAAGCCTGAATTTTTTTCACCTATGGGCAAACAATAAAGCAAGTGGGAGCACGGGAAGGAGCAGACATTTTTCAGTCCCAGGTGCTGCCCAGCTAGACCCCACATACCTGTCACGGAGGGTGTTGGGACCCAAGTAGGGGTACTGGCTGTCCTTCAGTTTTCCTTTGATGAGTTGATCCAGTGTTTCTTGAAGGAGAGGCTGGTGTTGTGTATACACATTCTCAACACCCTACAGTGCACAAGAAGCTCCCGTTATGAATAAATACAGCAAAGCAGCATGCTGAAAGAAAGCTGATCAGCAAAGCCACACTCAAAGAGCCCCAACATCTGATGGATATAGCAACTATTAACCACTGAGTCAAGATTCAGAGGGCTTTTCAGCAACCAACTTCCATTGCCTAAAATGAGAATTGCACCTCAAACGCTCAGTGCACTTACTATTAAACCTCTAAAAAACTCTTAAACCTCTGTGTCATGGTTTTATTGTTCTTTGCATCAGTACTCCACATCCATAGCACCATGCCATCGTGGGAGTTGAAGAGTTCACGTGGCAGCTCCGTGTTCTGAAGAGAAGAATGAACTACAGCTTCCATGGGCCAGGAAAAGACTCAGCACCAGAAGACTTTATTTTGTTTTTTTTTGTCTTCCAGCAGGAGGGAAAAGACAAAAGAATGGAGAGGTCAGAAGATCTCTGTCTCTTTCCAGCTCCCTCGTGGTTGATGCAGCATCAGAGACTCAGTATCAAAAACTCTTTCATTCATTTGATTTATTAGCTTCAATCCCAATTAATTTGTATTTCACTAAGGTTTTTTCCTCAAATCATTGCCCCCCCACACACACACCCTTCTGGCCATTGAGCATGTAGGCCCCTGTCAAGGAGACAGACCCAGCTCTAGAACATGAACACCTCTGAAAGCCAGAACGCATGGCATAAGAAGCCTGCCCCATCACTGTAACTTTGACTAAAGCTGTCATTATTTCATCTATGGCAGATCCATACCTTCAGTCCTTTGAGGAACTGTTTTGTGATGGCTACAGCATCCTTGGGACTGAACAGGTCACTGCCCCGGACCCGTTTCCCTCCATATTCCACAACAGCAGACACTAGCTGTACAGAGAGAGGCAAAACCAGAGTGCTCTTAACCTGGGAAACAAAATTCCACGCGGTTGTCCTATCGGGTTCAGTGGAGGTACTGGAACAATGACCCAGAAGTCAGAGAGAGGAAACAAGGAAGAGAAGTATTCTCTGAATAGAAGAAGCCATGGCACTGCCTGCATAAGGAGAAATGCTTTCATTCCCACAGTCCTCTGCAGTGATAGCAGATCTTCTATACAGTGACATTATTCTGCCTCTCCACCTCCTCTCCAGCTGCTCACTACATTTGTCAAGCTCTGCCACCCTCTCCCTCCCAGCCAAGCCCCCCTTACTGTTTTGGTTAAGTCCCTTGCTGCAGCTATTGCCTATTCAACAGAAGGTGGAAGAAGGAGAAAGGCAAAGTGCATCAGGCCGTCTGCATGCCATACACCAGGTCTAGACTCCTGCCAAGCACACCATCTCTGCTTTGTAGAATCCTTCGTAATATCACTGATTTTGGAAATGGAAATTAAGTAATTAGCTATGCCTTTAACATCTACAGGCCTCAGCCAAACTCCGTGCTCTTATTGAGAAGCGTGGTGCAATTCAACAGAAAAAAAGTATTACACTATGTTAAGGCAAGTAACAGGCATCCTCCCCCAACTAAGAACAATTTGACACCTGTGTGCCCTTCTGCCCCACTCATTCACCCAGCAGAAAGAGAAATACTGCATTACCTTTCGATATCTCTCAGAAACACCCCTATTCTTGAGATCTGCCATCAGCCCCGGCAGGCTGTTGCTGCTGTGCCGCTCGTAGTGCAGGGCATAGAGCATCACCAGCCGGGCAGCGTCGAGCTCTGTCACCTTGGGGTTCTGCAGGAGGCGCCGCACATTCTGCAACAAGATACAAAGTGGGATTAATGGAGAGGCCTTCAGAGCACATTAAATCAGACTAACATCAAGCCCATTGCTTCGTAACAAAATTGCAAACAGGAGGAACACAAGGGAATTAAACTGCCATAAGAAACAGACCTGAGCTTCTTATGTGCTCTGTGTTTAGATTTACTGGAGTATAATGGACTGCAAGTTGTTTTCATGAAGCTGGGAATCCTCTGTAATTCTCTGTAACTCTCCATAACGTGCCTCACAGTGAGCCCAGCTCAATGCATTCCTCCCAAATGGGACATCCGCAGACGCTTGTAGAAACCTTTAATCTTTGCCCTTTCCTTTTCCAACCTGAATGCAGCAAAAGCTGGCCACAGGTTCCATCGTAATATGAACCATCAAGGAAAAAGTGCTAGCAGAGCTACAGTTTGTTTTCTTGTGGAAGGTGTGGGAATGAAGCATCGAAGTCTCAGACAATCTCTGGATGAGGGAAGTGTGGGGCTGGGGGGAAGCAAACAAAGCACTTTGAAGCAAAGAAAGAATTAAAGCATGGAAAGGCAAAGAAAGATTACTGGAGAAGTAAATACAGAAATCCGTAGTTATTTACTTCTAACATGCAGATTATTACTTTTTCTGCTGAACAGAACATGGCAGCATTGTAAACACAAGGACTGCACGTCCCAGAGGCTACCTGCTAAAGCAGAAACCATTTCCAGAAGAGACTCAGAACCCCTGATGCATGCCATGTACCCTCCAGGCAGGATATTATTCTTTCATGTCAGCTGACAATTTGCCATGTAAGTGCTACTCCTTGTCATTACGACAAAAGTACTTATTTCCTCTCTGCAACTTCTCAGTCACTGCACAGAGCCATACAGTTGAGATACTGAAGTTAACAGAGAAGAAAACACCAGAGCCAAGTTGGTGAGCAGTGGGAGCAATAAGCTCCTTAATGCCAAGCCTGGAGATGGATCTCAAGGAAGAGGCATCACTACTGACTGCATCTGGTTAAGGACTGGACCGACACTTCAGGGCACAACAAAGTCTGCAATCCTCCCTGTGCTTAAAGCAAAACATCAGCCTGTATTGGCTCAAGGGTAAGAGAGCAGCAGAGCTTCCAGTTGTACAGTGGTTGAAACGGCAATTCCAAGACAGGGACAGAACAGCTAGGAGGATTTTTTCCATGCTACAAGAGAACATGACCTTCAAACACTCCAAAAATCCCAGCACATCTTGGCAACATTCTCCCAGCCTCCCAGAACAGAGAGGCAGCATGGAAATATTCAGTGAACAGCTGTGAAACAATACTGTAACAGTTGTTATTGACTGAGCTGATTCAGCTATGTTTGTTGCTATCCATTCCACTGATGCAGACCAGTTACAAAAATATGGGGTAAAATCCTGGCTGCGAGCTGTTCACTGAAGTTAACGAAGAAACTCTTGTTGAGGTCAGGAATTCACCTGCCAGGGTAAGGACAGAGTCCCACGGCGATGCCCGCTTGCCACATTCTGGATCCTGTGCTGGCAGCACAGTGGCAATGCCTATATAAGCGGGAAGCTTGTAAAACAGAAAAGCTATTGTCCATTTAAGGAGATGGGATTCAAAACCTCCCATTCATCTCTCAAGGCTCATGTACAATGTCAGGATTAATAAGAGACCGGGAAAAGAATAACCAAAACGTACTGTTCTCAGGGGCCCCAGGCCACCAGAGAAATTAACAATTGCTGAAGTTACATCAGTGGGAGAACAATTCTGCCTTTATTTTGTGCATTGCTTATTCTTCATTGTGTCTGTGGCCTTGCCCCTTCGCTGCCATTGAGAGACTGCAGCAGGGAACAGCCTGGGGCACTGCAACTAAAGAGATACTGATCTCTCATATAGAAAGATACCAGTTCCATTTTTGCATTTATTTTCTAGCTGCTATATGGTTTTCAGTCACTCTCAGTTGATAGAAACACAATAGAGCCCTTTAGGCATGTGGCTACAAACAAATGCAGGCAGCCTATGTGTCGTACAAACTGCAAAACACTACTCAGTGCAGACTGAGACCTGAATTAGCATCAAGGTGAATCTAGCTAACAACCTTACCACCACAGCATGGCACTCAGTGGGGGCTGACCTCCCTCCATCTCAATCCAGTTTCCAGCACTGCCACGTATTCCTCTAACCATAAAGCTGTAACATACAACTGCTCCATCTCCAGAAGTTCATGTCATCCCTTTCTCCAGTGAATCTGACGTAACCTACTACAATAAAGACAAACATTTTTTCCAAATGGACCCCAATGCCAAGCACCCAAGTTTCAGCACTTACACTCTGTGCTGTCTTCAGCAGAGTATCTGCTTGTAACATCAGAAACAAAGATCACAGTACAGACATGACGTGCTGATCACAGTACAGACATGACGTGCTGACAGATTAGAAGTCAAACGTTTGACTGTTAACCTGCACAAGCCTGACCTAGAAACCATGACACAGCGAGAGAGCATGAGAGGTTGTGCTCAGCAAATACATTTTATGGTTACAATCCCACTTTAATACTTGGTCATCAAAATTCTACCAAATATAAGCTATCAAATCATATCTATATGCTGATAGATCTATATAGCTGTGATGATTTCAACAAGTCTATACTGATTTACATCAGCTCAGGATCTGGTAATAGACGACAGTGCTCGAAGAGCTGATGTTATCACTTGGAGAACAGAGTAACAGAGGTAAAGAAAACATGTCTTTCAAATCTGTTCAGAATTCTTTTTATTTTCTAATCAAAGTGTAAATAAGTCCGTTATATGGTGTAACTTCTATCCCAGCTATAAAAAAATAAATGATTCGTTTTCTAATTCTGAGTCAGTGGTTGAACTCTGCTATAATACAGTCACTCTTAACAATACTGCTATTTTCTCTGAATAGTTAGCAGCCACAATTCATCATTATTGACATACTGTCAGATATTAGGTCAGGTCATGGAATCCAACAACCCAGCACAGGGTCAAAACTTCAGTCTACGCTCAGCTATAACAGAAGTCTCTTGTAGGCTTTTTCTCTTTGCCAAAGAAATCTTTTATCTAAAAGGCTTTTCACTGTTTTACACTGTTTTTTAGAAAAGAAGTAAAAATCATCACCTCAAGGACTGGTCTGGTTCAGTTATGGATTCCATTTCTTCTCCTTCCCAACAAATACAAGAAGCTTCTGCATAGGGGTCCAAGTTTTGTTTTACTGGTGCCTAAGCAGGCAGCTTGCCAGGTTCCAACCAACTACATACAATGAAGGAATGTTGTACTGTGAAATGTAGACAGAATTTGCAAAGATGCTTCTCAAGCCAGTAATTAACTATGATTCATCCCCATCTGAACTGAACAGGTAGGAGAAGAGTAATCCTAACATCTTATGTCCCTACCCTGTAGGACATCTGCACGCAAAACTCCCACTGACTTTCTGTATCAAACTTCCATCAGCAGGAGACTGTCAGCAGCAAAACATCTAAATTCAAAGGACCACAGCTAAGTTCTGAGCCCGAGGTACCTGGAGGGCATTGGAATGGTCATTGTGACAGGCCAGCTCCTGCTCCACCTCAGACACCTCCAGCAGGTTGCGCTCACCGACCAGTCGAGAGAGCTCTCCTACCACCGTCACGTGCTTTGACACTGTGCCTGACATCTTCTTGAACTGCGGGTAGTTTTCCACAAATGCCTGCGAGGGGGAAACCAGAGTGACACATTCTTCAGAATAAAAGCAGTAGACAACAAGAGTTGTTTATACGATTTATCACTGGGTTGCGCATATGCACTAATAAGCAAGACCACTGCAGGTGCACGGATGGTCAGTGTATGGGAACTGCTGAGTCACGACCTGAACCTCTGATTAGTCACCTGAGGCGAGCCATGAGTCAGCCCTGGCAGCACAGGTGAAAGCAATTCACCTGTGCTGCAGGAAGGGGTGGAGCCTGGCTGCACCTCTCCTGCACCCATTTAAGAGCTGACTACCAGTGGGGAAGGATCTCTCTCTCTTGGGAAGATCCACTCCACTGGAGTTTCCTGAGCGAGCCCACGACACGGGTAAGCCTCCTGTTTATTCTCTTTGTCTCGCTGTGCCTAACTCTCTTGCTTATTTCATTATTATAACATCTTAATATTATTAAATTATATAATATTCCTTTATATAATTTTCATTGATTATACAGTCAGGCATCTCAAATCCAGAAAAAGACTGAAAGATTTCTCCAGTTACAAGGAGATTTTTGGTTGTATTTTTTGTTTACACTCAAAATAAAAGAACACACAAAGTAACTCCAGAGACATTGCCAGGTTTCTTTACATCTTCAGCAGTGACTAAATTAACAGACCCTGCTGTGGGCAGCTGCCAAGTGACCCAGCTCAGATAGGAAGCTTACGCAGCTGCACTGGGTTAAGCCAAGTACCTGAACTAGAGCTTATCAATTCAATGGTGGGGATTCTGGATTCCAGCAGGCTCTAAACCGCAGCTCAGGGTGCAGTCAGAGCAAGCAGGCTTGAAGGCTGTGCTGCAGCGGTACAGAATGGCCTACCACAGGGTCTGGCTCCCAGTAAAAAAAATACCGTGCTGAACACAGGACAGTGGTTCCTGCCCCCACAGATCACTCATTGCAGAGGTCTGAACTGAATGCAGACTGTCAGCATGCAGTCAGCAGTGACCTGCACTACTCTGCCACAGATGGGCTTTAACAAGTCCTGTCTGTACCTTCATATCTGCTATGGATTCCAGCTTCTGCTGCTCCTTAGGTTTCCTCTTCTGGAAATCCTCCATAAGATTCTTGATGTTACTGCCAATCTCTGCAAAGTTCAGGTACATGTTCTGCATGGAACAAGGAGGGCATCTGAGAGAGAACCGTTTGAACACGAGTCCTGATAAGCTAAAATATGGAGACGCTCTGAACCCAAAACACTTCAATACCACTGCAGATTACCTCATCTATCTGACACTCAAACTTGACCAAACAGCTTTGTGATTGGTCCAGATTTTATTTAAAACTATAAAAAATCTGTGCTATTACACATCAGACAACATCTGTGTGACACAGTGACTTTCACCCTACATAACCTTTCCTCATCTTAACATTCAAAGTCACTGAAAGGTTCCAAGAATGGAACCTGACTCCGGCATTCAGCTACTCAGGGAGATCCCCATCATAAGACACAGCCACCTACATTGGCGTAGAACTCGTCGTTCTCAGCAGACAGGACCACCTCTCGGAGATCCTTACTGATGCCTGGCACACGCGAGAGGTCAACGCGGTTGTTGTTGATCCCCAGTAATTCATGAACCATAGCCTGATACGTCCACTGACACAGACAGGGAGAGAGAAAGGCAAGTATTGACTTCAGCACGGTATCACACTGCACTGAAAAAGATTTCAGGCTGAACCCAAGCAAGGTCATTTTCCATTCCTCCAGCATTCAGAGTGTCTGCTCCTTAAACTTTTGTCAGAACATTACAATCAGAAATAAATTCTGTTACTATCACAAAGGCATCTCACTATGAGAGGCGCTGATGCCAACATATAGGAAAACCACCCCCATCTGAGAGTGCTTACTGCAGGTATATTCAAAGGAAATGACTCTAAAAGCACAACAACTGGGATTAATATTCCTGTTCTAGCAGCTCCATTTGCCACCATTAGCTCCCCCTTCTCCTCCTGTGAATGAACATTTATTTTTGGCTGCAGAGGTTCCACAGTTACAAACTATAATTTCCTACACACTCCTGTGCTTCTTACACAGCAATTGGAGAGTATGTTCCTGTACATCAGTGAGTTACTATATTTATCCTGGGAAGACTAATTTTAATTTAGAGAGAAAACTGAAAGCTGATCAGAATGCTGACGTGCCTGACACTGCAATTACATTCATTTGACTCTCTCTTCTGGATAGAAAATCTCCACACAGCAGATAACACTTTTGGTGCCCTGTGCTGAGTGTTGTCCTTAACTCTACAAACCACATGTGAGCTTGGTTGCTGACTATCAGATTGCTCCAGCGCACAAGGGTTGCCACCAGCTCCCACACCATCACTTTCCTGAAGCGCTGCCTGCAGCTGGGGTAGCTCAGAGTGACTTGAGATCTGAGCATATCCCACAGAAAGGAGAGAAACAGACCGATGCCAGGTTCTGCAGCACAGCTACAATGAGCAAAGAAACAAATCACAGAAAAATACTGCCACCCATCAATAACAAAGAAAGAGAAACACACCAGAACAAGGTCACTCTGCAAAAATGTTCACGTACTACCAAGCGGCCTGCACAAATACACCATTCAAAATAACACTGCTGAGGCACCAGGACTCTAAATGCAAAGTGTGTCTTATGAAAGTGTACTTGATCTGATTTTTGGCCACCTCTGCCTCTGAAGCCATGTACAATCCATGCTCAACAGTCTGAAAATTGAGCCACGAGATTTATCTTTTTTTGAAATCTTTTAAGAAAAATTTCAGAAGAACGGGGGCAATACTTTTTACCCTTAAATACAAACCACACCCTGCCAGGTTGTGAGCTACTGCCACGAGGTCCTGTGCACTTCCAGAACTCACGCCACTATCTCCTTGGACAGCTGAGGTGATTCACCTGGTTCAGAAGTGGGGTGATCGCATCGTCTGAGCGGTCCAGAATAAGGAGCAAAGGAGGAACCTCAGTGCGACGAAAGTCAAACAGCTCATACTCTTTAGTGATTACTTGCTGTTGAGAAAACAAAGAAAAAAACCACTTGGTAATAGGTATACCTGGGAAAAGTTCCCTCTAACTTTTCTAACAGATGAATAAAAAGTGAAAAGCTTGAGAAAAACAAGTTGCACTGCTATCAATAACAGTCAACACTGTTATTGAGAAAACAACACCTGCTTTCAAAAGGCATCAGTAATGCACTGCAGTTAATGGGACTTGTGAGAAATAAGGGCCTTCACTTCTTTCATAGGTTGGAGGAGGCAGAAACAAGGGAATGTGACATGCCAAAAGCCACATAACATATAAAAGGAAGAATTTACAAGAACTGGCTCAAGAACATTATGAAAAAACATTAAACAAAAATTAAACAAAGTTGCCAAACTCACTTAACACTGCTCACCGCACCTTCACACATTCAGCAAGTCTCTTCGCTAGCTCAGAAGAGAGTTGGTATCGAATCATGGGGCATTTCTTCAGGGACAAAAGCAGAGCAGTCAGCCCTTGAGTTGTTCTGGACAGCTGGGCTGGATCCCAGTTGCGACCCTAGAAGGAAAGGTTGCGTGAGAGATGGACGTGCCATCCCCAAACCCTTTGTCCCATGAAGCTGCATTTCCCTCCACACAGCCTATATTTTGACTAAAGGAGCAGGTACACCAAAGGCCACAATCCAGATTGCCAATTCCTGCTAACAACCAGCTATCCCTTTTTGGCTGGACACAGCACTCTGCCTGCTGGGCAACTACTGCCACTGCACCCACTTTGCTGTGGCTACTGGGCTCTCTGTTAACCATAAAACAAGGCCCCGGAGCCCTGGAGGAGAGTTAGCTTTTTTCATACCTGGCAGCAGCCCAAGAGGTTGAGAGAAAAAACATGTGGATTCACTGCAATGTAATCTCCATAGAACTCCTGCCAACAGGTGAAAGCAAATACAGTTAATGCCCTGCCAACCCCTATTCAACCTACAAGAGCATGTGTATTGGCAACATTAAAATCCTAAACGCTGCACTCACTGACTCTGATCATTCCTCCTTCCTCCATGCCTACATACTCATAATCTTACACTTCTGCTGACAACTCCACTGCCAGTTCCTGTTGTACTTTTCATGTACATAGCTCTTTGTTGATGCCACAGACAACATGTAGCAGTCTTGTGAAATGATGCCAGCAGTACCAGCAGTAGCTCCAGCAACTGGAGGGCATAGAGAAATGGAACATGAGTTTTCTGCAGTGCTGCTGCACACTGTTCAAGACCTCCAGAGTCCTCCTACTGCCACATGCATGTTTGCTAGCTTGTATATTCACCTCCTGATACCCTTGGATTAAGAAATCTACTTAAAAGATTCAAAATTCACCTGAATTTCTGCCACAACTTCCTGTTCATCAGCCTCAGCTAATGCCTTGATATCACTCTTACTGATCACATTACTGAAATCTGAAAGAAAACAACAGAGAAAGAGCAGTTGGGCTCTGTGGGTGACACAGAACACAAGAACACCACACAGCACAGTACAACCTGATTCTCCCCTGGAGCAGGAGTGAATTGCAACAGAGATCATTTGCTTTCATACCCATAATTACTATGCAGGTAGTCTCTCTTACCTCTCCCTGCTCAGCATCTGCTCAATTAGGCAACACCATACATGGCTGTAATTAGTAGATTTACAAAGCTAAAAGATAAGCACTATTAAATAGTTTAACACTGTGGCCAGCTTAACACAAGCTGGAGCTTCTCAGCATCGCTGTGTCAGTAGGTCACCGCCACCCATCCCTGCAACCCGGAGCTGCTCCTCCAGCACTGCAGAGCGACAGGGGCACCTAGAGGCCACTTCGGATCATTGCCCAGAACCTGCCGCGCACGACGGCTACATCTCAACAGCAAGGCCGCTGTAGTTATTCTGCTTCATTTCCAAACCTAGAGAATATTCTACAGCACGAACAGAACGCGTGAGGAACACCTGCCTGATCCACCAGGCGTTACAAGATGCTGTGGGCTTAGTCCAACAACTTAACATTGTCTCTAAATGATTTACCTTCAAGATTTAGGCCAGTGTCTCATCTCTCTCTGTTTCCACTGTAATAAAGGCACTCTAAAGCCAGCTTCTTTCATGTTTATGAAGCACCGCGAAGCTTTAAAATCCCTGAAGTTTTCAGGAATAAGCCATATGAGAGTAATATGGGTTATGGCATTGCTGTATAAAGATTCTTATCAGTTGTTTCAGTTCAACTGTTTTATTTTACATACATGTAACCTTTTCTAAAACAATTTCATAGAATGGCTTCAGTTGGAAGGGATCTCAGAGATCACAGAGTTCAAATCCCTCTGCCATGGGCTGGATGCCCGCCCCACCCTCCCCCCCCCATCCAGCTGCCCAGGGCCCCATCCAGCACAGCTTTAGGCACCTCCAGGGATGGGGCACCCACACTTTCTTTGGGCAGCAGTGTCACAGCTTCATCACACCCTCAGTGAAATATTCCCCAATGTCTAGTCTAAATTTCCCCTCTCATTTAAAAGTGCTCCCCTTTATCCAATCACTATCTATTCAAGGAAAAAGTTAATTTCCCTCCTGCTTATAATCACCATTTAAGCACTGGAAGGCTGCTCTCCTGGAGCCTTCTCTCCTCCAGGCTGACACCCCCAGCTCCTTCAGCCTTTCTTTGCAGGAAAGGTGCTCCAGCCCTTTGACAATCTTCACAGCCTCCTCTGGACCCTCTCCAACAGCTGTTTTTCTTGTGTAGGGGCCCAGCCGTGGACGCACTACTCCAGACGAGGGCAGAGCAGAGGGGGAAAATCCCCTCCCTGCCCCACTGCCACCCTTTTGCTGGTGCAGCCCAGGATGCAGTTGGCCTGCTAGGCTGTGAGCTGTGAGCGTTCACTGCTGGCTCATCTCCAGCTTCTCATCCATCAGGACTCCCAAATCCTTCTCTGCAGGACAGCTCTTAAGGAGTTCTTCTCCCAGTCTGCACTCATATCTGGGATTGCCCCGACCCAACAGTGTGCTTTCAGCCCTGTTGGACCTCACTGAGTTCATCTGGGCCCACTCCTCAGCCTGCCAGATCCCTCTGGATGCCTTCCCTTCCTTCTGCTGCGCTGACTGCACCGCTCTACTCAGTGCCATCAGCCACTGCTGAGGGTGCTCTCGGTCCCACCGTCTGCACCACCCATAAACACATTAAAGGATAAACTTAGATCTTGCGACCGAACCGACGTAAAACCTCCCATTCGGGCATTTTCAGCATCTCAGCGGCACTCTGCCCGCGGGGGTGGTCAGTGCCTCCCACCGGCGCCTCACTGAACGTCGGAGCTGTAAACAGCACGTACTCACAGATGTAATAGATGCTGTACTTCGGCCTCCGCAGCTCCTGGATGAGGCAGTCCACGTTCTCCTGAAGGAACACAGCGACAGAGCGGCGATCAGAGGCGCTCGGCCCCACCGCCTCGCCGCGGGGAGGGGCTCTCACCTTGGTGGGCCGCAGGAAGCAGACAGCCTTCAGGTGCTTCATGGGCTCCCTGCCGGGGGAGTCGATGCGCTCGAAGAGGTAAACCTCCTTCTGCAGGATCTCGGACTGCGTGTACACCATGCTGACCGCGCCGGGCTGCGGGGAGCGCCGCGTCACCGCGCGCCGAACACCGGCCCCGCGCCCCGCCCGGCCCGGCCCCGCCGCTCACCGTCTCCCGGTCCATCAGGAGCACCTTCATGCCCGGCCCACTGTCCTCGATCATTTTCGACACGTACTGCTTGACGGCGAGCACCGCGTTCATCTCCGCCGTGCGCCTCGGCCGCGCTCCGCTCCACGCCAGGCCGCGCAGCCCTCCGGCGGCAGGGGATGGCGGGAGCGGCGCGGGGACGGACTACAGCTCCCGGCATGCCGCGCGGCGCCGCACTTCCGCTCCTGCGCGCCGCGCGGCGCCGAACTACAGCTCCCGGCATGCCGCGCAGAGCGCTCCTCTGCTTTCCGGGCAGCAAAGGGCGCTTCTTCGTTGTCATCAGCCGTCGCTCGTGTAGGCGGTGCGACGCGCAGCTCCCACGGAGGTTTTCATGAACGAGGCGTATCAGTGTGATACGGGTTGATGGCGTTGCTTTGTAATCATCACAGAATCACAGCAGTGTAGAGGTCGGAGGGACCTCTGGAGATCACAGAATCACGGAATGGCCAGGGTCGGAAGGGGCTCAAGGATCACAAAGCTCCAACCCCCCGCCACAGGCAGGGCCACCAACCTCCACATTTCACAGCAGCCCAGGCTGCCCAGGGCCCCATCCAACCTGGCCCTGAACACCTCCAGGGATGGACGGGGCATCCACAGCCTCTCTGGACAGCTGTTCCAGCACCTCACCGCTCTCACAGCAAAGAACTTCCCCCTGACACCCAACTGAAATCTGCCCTCCCTCCCGAGGGCTGCATGGTGAGCACAGGACTGAAGTCTGTTCCCATCCACTTGATACCTATGCTTTAGATATTTATAAACAGTGATCAGATCCCCTCTCAGCCTTCTCTTCCGCAGGCTGAACAGTCCTGAGGTGCTCAGCCTTTCCTCATACAGGAGATGATCCCTGTCTTTTTTGAACCGAGAAGCCCAGAACTGGACACAATATTCCAGATGTGGCCTCCCCAGGGCAGAGCAGAGGGGCAGAGACCCTCCCTGGACCTGCTGGCTCTCCTCTTGTAATGTACTCCTGGATACCTGTAGTCTTCTCAGCCACAAAGGCACACTGCTGACTCATGGGCAACTTGTTGGCTCCCAGGACACCCAGGTCCTTCTCAACAGACATCTTTTCCAGCAGCCCAGCCCCTAACCTGTGCTGATGCATGCGGGTATTCCTCCCCAGGTGCAGGATCCTACATTTGCCCTTGTTGAACCTCCTAACATTCCTCTCTGCCTGTCTGCTCTGTGCAGCTCTCACCAAATGGCAGCACAGCCTTCTGGCATGTCAGTCACTCCTCCCATCTTTGTATCATCAGCAAACTTGCTGAGAGTGAACACTGTCCCTTCATCCAGATCATTAATGAAGATACTTAACAAGTCTGGACCCCTGAGGAGCACCACTTGCTACAGACCTCCAACTAGACTCTTCACCACTCTGAGCTCTATCTACCCTCCAGTTCTCAATTTACCTCACTCATTTATCCCACACTTCCTAAGCTTACCTACAAGGAAGTTATGGAAAACAGTGTTGAAAGCTTTTTCAAAAGTTTTTATCGAAACCTCATTTTAAGCAGCAGAACCACATTTTTGCTCGTATTCCTTTTACTGGCGACATACTTCCAGAAGCCTTACCTTTTATCCTTGACTTCTCCCACCAAATTTAATTCCAAGTGGGCCTTAGCCTTCCCTGTTGTGTCCCCACAGGCCCTGAGAACATTCCTGTTTACTTTCCAGGTGGCCAGACTCTTTTTTCACATTTCATAGACTTTCTTCTTCTCTTTAAGTTTTTCCATGAGCTCCTTGCTCTTCCTCACAGGTCTCCTGCCATTTTTGCCTGATTTCTTTCTCTTAGGGATGCGTCTATCTTGAGCTTGGAAAAAGTGGTTCTTAAATATCAACCAGCTCTCATGGGCCTCCTTACCTTGCTATGCTTTCGCCCATGGGGTACCTCTAGGTATTCCTCGAGGAGGTTAAAGTTGACTCTCTCAAAGTAGGTTGTGATCCTACTTATTACCTTGCTCTTTCCATTCAGGATCCTGAATTTCACTATCTCATGATAGCTGCATTCCAGGCTGCCCCCAACCTTCACATCCCCAGTCTGCCCTCCCTTGTTGGTAAGAACAAGGTCCAGCAGCACACCTCTCCTCACTGGCTCCTCCACCACCTGCATCAGAAAGTTGTCTTTAACACACTGCAGGAATTTCCTGGACCATGTGCACCTGGCAGCATTGCTTACCCAACAAATACCAGGGTATTTGAAGTCTCCCAGAAGAACCAGTGCCTGTTATCATGACTCTACTTCCAACTGTTTGCAGAGGATCTCATCAACTTGCTCCTTCTGATGATAGAATGGCCTGGGTTGCAAAGGACCACAATGACCATCAGTTCCAACCCCCTGCTGTGTGCAGGTCACCAACCAGCAGCCCAGGCTGCCCAGAGCCACATCCAGCCTGGCCTTGGATGCCTGCAGGGATGGGGCATCCACAGCCTCCTTGGGCAACCTGTTCCAGTGCCTCACCACCCTCTGGCTCAAAAACTTCCTCCTAATATCCAACCTAAACCTCCCCTGTCTCAGTTTAACACCATTCCCCCTTGTCCCATCACCATCCACCCTCACAAACAGCCGTTCCCCTCCTGTTTATCCGCTCCCTTCAAGCACTGGAAGGCCACAATGAGGTTTCCCCACAGCCTTCTCTTCTCCAAGCTAAACAAGCCCAGTTCCCTCAACCTTTCCTCATAGGCTCCTCTCAGAAGCAGTGTGGCCAGCTGGCCTGGAATGTCTGATGGAGTTATCTCTAGACCCGTCCAAGTCCTTTGACAGTGGGACAGCAGGCCCACAGTCCCACCAGCCCTAGGAAAAAAAAAGAAAAGAAATGGGATGCCTGGTGTGTCAGTTGTTCACTGGCAGTTTGGCCCAGTTCTGTGAGCAATGGGGCAGGGGCTCACAGACCCACACCATGGCAAAGGGGGATGGGAAAAAATGGGAAAGTGTAGGGTGAGAGGAGGTGGGAAACAGAACGGCAGCAGTGATCTGAGGAGGAAATAAAATTGATTAAATATGATTTTAGAATGCGAGATAAAACCATATAGTATAATATATAATTGGAATAGAGGCTAATAAAACAAATTGAAAGGGAGAGAGAGGCTCCAGAACTAAAGGCCTTACTCTAAAACTGAAGGTGAGATGGCTGGGGAACCCAACCACACACTGCCAGCAGTGAAATGAGAGTCGTGTAACTTGCAAGGAGTTTTATCTTTTCCTCTGAATGCAAAGTCCCCTGGGGTGTGCAGTTCTTCTTCTCTTCTGAGAACCGGGTACCCAGAAAATTGCAGCCCTTGGTGCTGGAGCATTAACTCTTTAACTCCCCATGCTCTACACAATGTTATGATGTGGAATACCTGTAACAAAACTCATAAAACCATGACGGGGGGCTTGTTGGGATGGGGCTTTAATTAGGGAGGGTTTTTAGGGAGGTTAGTGTGATGGAGGGGTTTATCAGTGGGGGTTTAATTAGGGTGGGGGTTGTTGGGGTGGGTGTTTTTTTGGGGTGGGGGGTTATTGGGGTGCAGGTTTAATTAGGGTGGGAGGGGTTAGGGGTGAGGCAGTTATTGGGACAGAGGGGGTTATTAGAGGAAGTTTTATTAGGCTGGGGGCTTTATTGGAGTGAAGGGGTTTATTGGGATGGGGGGTTTCTTGGTGGGCGTTATTAGGGTGAGGGTGTTTACTGGGAAGGGGGTGGTTGGAGTGGAGGAGTTGTTGGGGTGGAAATTTTAATAAGGTGGGTTTTTGGGGGGGGTCGAGGGGGTTATTAGGAGGGAGGAGATTATTAGAGGGCATTTTATTGGGGTGGGGGGTCTTGAGGTGGAGTTTGCTGCTACCTGTTGAATACAATGCAATACCAGGATGGTTTTTAATGGATTTTTAGGGTCAGGGCTATCACAATTATTTTAGGGTCAGTAGGATTACGATTAACGTTACTTTTAGGCTTAAGGTTGTAGTTACTGTAACGACTGCTTTTTGGATTTGAATGAAGTGCAACGCCTGAGCAACGCAGAGGAACGCAATGGGAATAACGGGGCAAGGAAAGGAGAACGCATGGGGAAAGCAAGGGAAAGGCGAGAGGGAAAGGACGGGCCACGAGTGCACTGCTCGTCCGCCCCTGGGTGGTCAGTAGAAATTTCTGCCCTTTTTATGCCTCCGAGCGTTTGGGAGTCACTCTCTGGAGGACTAAGCACAATAGAGCTTGGAGGACTGGCTGCGCAGAGCGGTTAGAGCGAAGAGCCCGCACACGTCTGGATTCTGAACGCATGCGTGTTAGTGCCTGGAGGACCTTTAACCATAGAGACGGGCGGCGCAGAGCGGAGACAGAACGCTCCCGCTGCAGTTCCGCGCTTTGGCCACGCGGGGACAGCAGAGACTGAAGGGGGCCGCAGCTCCGCGTCGGGCGCTCCGTTCGTTTTCCTTCAGCTTTCGGGTGAAGAATTCAGTGTTTGGAAGAGGGGGAAATAAAGGAAGAAAAGAAAAATTCGCCAAACCCAGGAAAGCTATGTTAATTGTTCGCGAATTCCTGTGTAAAGAAGGACGGAATCTGTGCTTAGCTCCTGTGCGGTGAACTGCTGTCTACTTAAGGACACTGCGGAGCTCTGGATGCTAAACTGTTTTAGGGATGAATTCAAGGTGTGTGGGGTCCTCGTGATGGATGGGGAGCGCGGTGTAAAGGCTGTAGGTGCAACAAGTGCCCCTGAGCAACGCCAGCTCCGCTTCCTCCAGCCCTGCTCCCTCCCCTTCATTATTTACTGCTTTAATTGCCTGCGTGAGTGATCTGACAGATGGATGATCTTTGAAATGATTCAAAGCAACAACAGAAGAAGGGCATGAGAGAGGACTGCCAGAAATATGCGTGTATGCATGTGTGTAAGGGAGAGAACAGGATCTGGGCCGTGTGTTAAGCGTCTCAGACCTGATCTGCACGCAGGAGCATTTGCAGGAGCCCCAGGGGCAGCTGCCACGTGCAGTCAGTGGGCACAGGCAGCACGAGCTCCTCCGCGGGGCTGCGGGGCTGAAGTTGCACAGGTGCACACCGCTTTGGGGCGGGCAAATGGCAGGGAGGAGGACGGGTGTCTTGCTGGGTTTCTGACCCCCAGTCAGCCTGCACCCGCACTAGGAAGCTTGCAGGGGTCTGCGAGCCTGAAAAGATGGCAGATGTTTCATCT